AGGTTGTTGGCATAAGCACTTTGTGAGATGAACACCCCTTTCTCGAACTGAGTTACTTGAAGCCCCAAGAAATACTTAAGCTCTCCACACATACTCATCTCGAATTCATCAGTCATACTCTTCACGAATTCATCCACCATTGATTGTGAAGTGCTTCCAAAGATAATGTCGTCCACATAAATTTGAACAATGATGATGTTCTTCTCTTTTTCCATGAAAAACAGTGTCTTGTCTACACTTCCCCTTGTGTATCCTCCTTTTACTAGAAAGCTGGTAAGACGCTCATACCATGCTCGAGGTGCCTGCTTGAGACCATACAACGCTTTCTTCAACTTGTAGACATGTTGCAGATGTGTGTGATCTTCAAAACCCTTTGGCTGCTCCACATAGACCTCCTCTTGCAAGATTCCATTCAAGAAAGCACTCTTTACGTCCATCTGGTATACTTTGAAGTTCAGGATACAAGCCATTCCTAAGAAAAGCCTGATGGACTCAAGACGAGCCACTGGTGCAAATGTTTCTTCAAAGTCTACCCCCTCAACCTGTGAGTATCCTTGTGCCACCAAGCGTGCTTTATTACGAACCACTTCTCCATGCTCATCAGTCTTGTTTTTGAAAATCCATCTAGTTCCGACGACATTTATTCCTTCTGGTCTAGGGACAAGTTCCCACACATCATTCCTTACAAACTGCTCCAGTTCCTCCTCCATTGCCACAATCCAGTACTCGTCACGTAGTGCCTCATTGTGTGTCTTTGGTTCAATGGAAGATACAAAGCAAGCAAACTGAACCATTTCTCGAAAGTTTATCACCTTGCCGCGAGTCTTTCGTCCCTCATCTAACCCTCCAATCACATCGTCAGCAGAATGATTACGATGTACTTGCTAAAGTACTTCAGTTGGTGCAGCATCTTCTGATTCAGTGATCTCGGGTACTACCTCTTTCGTTCTGATCTCTGATGTTTCTGTTTCTTCATCAGATTCATTGTCATCCCAGCTGATCACCGACAGGTCATCAAATACAACATTCACTGACTCCATAACCATGGCAGATCGCTTGTTGAACACTCGATATGCTGTACTAGTTCCTGAATACCCAAGGAAGATGCCCTCATCGCTTCTTGAATCAAACTTTCCTAGGTAGTCCTTGTCATTCAAGATATAGCACCTGCAACCAAAAACATGAAAATAACCAAGGTTAGGTGTTTTACCAGTCCACATTTCATAAGGAGTTTTCGTGGTCCCTTTTCTCACATACACCCTATTGATGATGTAACATGCAGTACTCAGTGCCTCAGCCCAGAACTTTTGAGGTATCTTGTTACCATGTATCATCGCCCTGCCCATCTCTTGCAATGTCCTATTCTTTCGCTCTACTACACCGTTTTGTTGTGGTGTCCTGGGAGCTGAGAACTGATGGGCTATTCCTTTTGTCTCACAAAATTGCGTCATTGATTCGTTCTGAAACTCTCCTCCATGATCGCTACGTATCTTCTTGATTCCTCCTTTCTCATTGATCAACTGTAGTGCCCAAATCTTGAAGCTTTCTACCGTTTCTGACTTCTCTCTGATGAATCTGACCCATGTGAATCGTGTGAAGTCATCAACTAGTACAAACACATACTTCTTCCCTCCAATACTGTCGGTTTGCATTGGTCCCATTAGATCCATGTGAACTAGATCCAAGGGGGCCAAGGTTTGTACATCCGAAACCTTCTTGTGTTGTACCTTTACTTGTCTCCCTTGATTACAGGCTCCACACACGATCTTCTCTTTTATCTGAAGCTGAGGTACCCCACGAATCATGTTCTTGTTGACTAGAGTTGCCATGTTACGCAGATTCATGTGGCCTAGACGTTGATGCCAGAGTTCAACATTATCTTGTGAGGATTGAGCAGAGAAGGCATTCATACACTTAGTCTTCTTTTCCCACATGTAGCAGTTGTTGCCAGCTCTTATCCCTTGTATGACTGTTACCCCATGCTTGTTGATGGCTCGGCATTCTGTAGCTGTGAATAGCACTGACAGGCCTTCATCACATAGTTGACTTACGCTGATCAAATTAGCCTTCAGACCTTTGACAAAGTATACGTTCACCAGCTTGGGTAATTCAATGTCGTTTGTAGCACCTTTCCCCTTGATTGATCCTTGTCCTCCATCACCAAACGTGACCTTTCCACCTTTCACCTTTTTTAAGTTATCTAGGTACTCAGCATTACCTGTCATGTGCCTTGAGCAACCACTATCAAAGTACCATGGTTCTTCTGCATCATCATCCTCCGTAACCAAGNTTGTAGCACCTTTCCCCTTGATTGATCCTTGTCCTCCATCACCAAACGTGACCTTTCCACCTTTCACCTTTTTTAAGTTATCTAGGTACTCAGCATTACCTGTCATGTGCCTTGAGCAACCACTATCAAAGTACCATGGTTCTTCTGCATCATCATCCTCCGTAACCAAGGCCATGCTACATCTTGAGCCTGATCCTGTCTTAATTGAAGAATACAGGTCTGACTTCCTTATCCATGCTAGACTTGTGTTCCCAACTCTCCAGAACTTGCGTTGATTCCACAATTGTCTGATCTTCCCGAGATATCTCTGACAAAACCTTTTGTAATGACCCATCTTCCCGCAAAAATGGCATCCAGCTGTTTGTCTTGATGTACTTCCTGTCTCAGTCTCCTTGGTGTGAACAAACCCTCCAGATACAAAACTAGTTATGCCTGTTGCATTACTCGATCTTCCAGTGTATCCAAGTCCCATGTGAGAATTCTCTGTTCTGCCTTGAGACAAGATCTTGTCTAGCTGCTTAGTACCTGTTAGCATCTTGATCTTCTTGTATTGCTGATCTAGCTCCGATTGTAGTTCCATGGTGATTTTCTTTTCAGCCATCACTTCATGTCTGAGATCTTCAGCTTGTTTGGCAAGAACTAGCTTTTCTTTCATTAGATTCACACTCTCTTTGGCTAGCTCAGTTTCCTGTTGGAGTTCCAAACGAACCTTTTCCAATTCTGCCTCAAGACTTTCCTTAGCTTTCGCAAGTGCTTGATTCTCAGCTCCAAGTCTTAGTACTGTCTCGCGAATTTCTCGATAGCTTTCAGTTAGTTCTTTCTCTGATTCACTTTCACTTTCTGAGTCAGACACGAATTCTGTGATGCCCAAAAATGCCACAAAGTTGTTCAGCTCTTCTTCACTATCGCTGTCGGAGTCGCTGTCATCGATCCCTATTAGCGATTTCTCTTTCTTCTTCTTGCTGTCCGTCTCGCATTCAGCTTGAGTATGACCAAATCCTTTGCATCCAAAGCATTGAAACTCTCTTCTTTTTACTGTGGGGCAATCAGTTCGTACATGGCCATATCCCTTACACTCATAACACTTTACGTCTGACTTCTTGACACTCTTCTCAGCTTCAGCAGATTTGGTTTTCGAACCGAACTTCTTGTAGGATTGCCCTTGCTCTACTTTTCTGAGCGCTCTATCAAATCTTCTCACAAGTAAGCTTAATGGATCATCACTTGCTTCATCCTTTTCAACAGATGCTAGTGCAATTCCCTTGACCTTCTTTCCACTGTCTAATTCCATCTCATGAGCTTGCATCATACCCACTACCTCATCAAAGCTTATGTCATCAGTGTTGAGAGCTACCTCCATGGCTGGTTTGTGACCTCTGAACCTTTCGGGAAGACACCTCAGGAACTTCTTCACCAGTTTCTTTTCTTTGTATTTTTTCCCAAGTGTGAGTGCTTCTTGTGATAATGAGCTTAGCTTGGAACTGAAATCAGCAATTGATTCATTTTCGTCCATCTTCAGATCTTCAAAACGAGTATCCAACATGTCTCTTCTTGAGCTTAACACTTTCGTAGTTCCCTCAAAGTGCCTCTGAAGAATATCCCAAGCTTCTTTTGCTGACTCACATCCCTGAATCAACTCAAACTGCTTCCTCGCAACACTGCAGTGGATGGCCGTGAGTGCTCGTGCATTGAACTTGGCAAACTTGTTCTCATCTTCAGTCCACAGTTCTTCGGGTTTTGGTACATCTTTACCATCTTCACCTCTTGCAACAGGATGCTTCCATCCAGACTCAACTGCCTTCCATGCGAGTGGATCAATACCCTTGATCGTCGCCTTCATTCTGGCTTTCCAGAACCCATAGTTTCCTACTTCCAAGATCACCTTGGAGTGCGCCACCAACTCTTTGAAGTTGTCCATTCCGCAGGATCCTTACCTGTTTAAGAAAACACAAGTACCCGCTCTGATACCAATTGAAAGCGCAATATTAGTAGTA